TTTTGAAAATTCTACTAGAAATTTGTACACATTTTAGAACATTCCTCGATAATGCTGTTGACTATAGAGTTCTCTAGGAAAATAGAAGTTCTGTGGAACCCCTAGCCGAAAATAAAACATATTATATCTGATCTCTAATCGAAATCTGATATATACAACAAGCTCTTATTCAAAGTAGTGATAAGACTAGACAGGTAATTTGAATATATCAATGTACATTCAGATACTTGAATTAATACAAACAAAAACCATATTCCAAAAGAAACATTCTTTTATTTCATTCATGTTCACTACCGATGCAGCGAATATAAATTCTTTCAGTAATACTTTTATTCTGACGAACTATTCAGTTATTTTGTCGAAACATAAAAACCGGTTCTCATCCTTGACTTGACATAGTTTTTTCAACTTTTTGTATCTGATATTCCTTATTCAGACCCATTTGACTTCGACTATTGACTTTTATTCAATGAATCCCAACACTTCGAAGCGGCACTTCTGGAGATAACCCAGTGCAGCAGCTAGCCGCGAGCGGCGCCCCTGAGGGGCGCCGATGAGTGACTAATTGCTCCCAGGTCTACTCCCATCTTTTCACAACACTATCCCTCTGTATTTTAAATTCACCTGGTCCAGAATTTACTATTTCAAAACTTCGTTAGTCTAAAGCGTTAGAATTATCGATAGGAATTTTCAAGCAAAAGTTTTCTCATGAATTATTTCTCATTTCCGCAATTTGATTGTAGAACTGAGAAACCAGAATATTCTTTGAGGTTCTCATTAAGGAAATCTTAGTGCACTATTCTTCAAAATGCCTAACCGATACAAACATATTTAGTGAGATCAGTCTGTAGTATGTTTGCAATGTTAACGATTAACAGTTCATTAGCGCCCCTTTGGGGTACCAGCCACGGCTAAGTCCTCCTTTTACATAAGTGCACTTGGACGACAGTCTCTTATTGTCCATGTAATACAACAGCTACGATATCATTCACATATGCCTTTTCAAAACTATTTTCTTTGAATAACAGTAGCTAGACATTGCACATATCAGAATTCCCGAAAACATACCAGGATAAGAGTATCACTTTTCATAATAGTAATTATAGCATATGACAAATTAATGCCAGGTCTCAATGTTAGACCCACGCCTATCCATGTATATATTTCCGCAGATGATAGATTTAAAAACACGAAAGAACCTTTCTTATAGGTATCAAACACGACCAAATTCAATAGCTTATTCACTCTTATCGCGTACATTTAACTAATAAATAGTCAAAAACCATTCCATAGTAACTACAAATGACTCTCTTAATTGATAAATATTTTCATAAGACGAAAGCAAACATACAATTTCCAATTATTCTCTTCTTTTTCATACATTTATGCAAAACCGAAAAAGACATATACTGTTTTAGCTGATCATCTACTTCAGGAAATGCACATTCTAAATCCACAAAAAAATATACGAACCGAAAAACTAATTCTTTTCCTTTCAAGTTCGTTTTCGATGGAATGAGTTTAACTGTTTTAATGATGTTTTCCATCCATACATTGTCACTATATTCTATTCTTCGAGAAAAACTGGTCTTAGAATGCATAGAAAAATATTTCTCCTTTTTTATCACTTTGAGTCCCTTTTGAAACTCATCAGATCTAACCCCTTCACATTCTCTTGTTAAATCTTTTTAATTTAACGCTCTTCAAAAAGCAACTGTCGAGTGCACCAGCTAGTCGCTCATCGGCGCCCCTCTGGGGCGCCACTCGCGACTAGCTGCTGCAACCTCTGATCTTCTTCTCCCATAAGATAGTTCTTTTCACTTAAACCCTGTTAAATGACAGATTGCTCTTACTTAGAATATTAGATTTATAACACCATCGCTCCACATGAGCAGCTCCGGACCAACAGTTTCCTGTTATTTATTCCTAATTTCTTTAACCCAATGGTTTAGCCAATACGGTAAAATTTTATTAGGGCTTCTGGTTTTGAGAATCTTAGTTGATTATTCTTGATAAATGCAGGTTTCACGTAGATCTTTTGCTAAACAACATTAGAATACGTTCGCAATTTTAGCGACCACTAGTTCGCCAACACTTCTCTCAGGCCTTGCTCATAGTCCCTTGTTGCATTCTTGGAATACATTAAAACAATCATTGGTTATTCAGCATTTATCCTACAGGCCGTAACTTCATTTACAAGATTCTTTTAATGCTACTTCTCTCGACTTAAGCAGAGTGCACTCAAAAAAGGCCACTTAACTCACAAACCACTATGAATAATCATGAATCCCACAATGTCGCACACATTAGACTGAGTGCCAATGGTTTGTAAACACTGTTTCATCACACTACGACTTACTGAAACACTCAACCCATTAGATCACACTCTGATTCATGTCTACAACGATACTATGAAGAGGCTACCGAAACTAAACAGCAATTACAAACTCCAAATACGCAGAAGGATTGTCCATATTTCGGGTGTCCATTTTTCAAATGCCTTTTGCTTTAAAAAAATTGACTTTTTCCTTAGACAATAATTCAGATAAAAAAGGATGATTTGTCTCATACAAAAACCTACTTGAGTTTTTGAACAGCTGACTTGAGATTCGGGTTCTCCGACCTGGAGTTGCTTTCGTCAACCTTTATAAAATATCGTTATTTTCTCAAAAAACCCTTTTCTTGACCCTAAAAACCCGATTCAAAATTTCTAGAAACTGACTTCAGATTCGAATTCTCCGACCCCGATTTCCTATCGTCAACCTTTATAAAATATCGTTATTTTCTCAAAAAATCCTTTCCTTCACCCAAAAATTTGAATTCAAAATTTTCAAAAACTGACTTCAGATTCGGATTCTTCGACCCCGATTTACTTTTGTCAACGTTTAGAGGAAAGAACTTTATCTGATTGGTCGAAAGCCCGATATCGAAAACATCTCATTGGCTGAAACTATGGGCTGAATAACGTGATTGGTCGAAGGCCTCAAAGCGCAAACTTCTTTAAGCGTATGTTTTTTTGACCCAGAGGTTCTTTTAACCCTGATGTTCTTTTGGCCTGACGACAAGCAAGCAAGCAAGCAAACTCTTTTTTTTCATATGACCCTTCCTTCAGTCGAGGGAATACCAAAGTTTCATCAAAATGACCAAAAGTCTTAAAATAAAAAAGCTCATTTCTGATTGGCCGGTTCTTGTCCAATGAAATCTCGGCC